ATCTTCAGCTTGGAAAAACGAGAGTTAAACAGATTTTTTCGCTTCTGAGTGACTAACAAACTCCTGTCATCCAACTTCAGGAAAAAAAAACACCTGAAATTCCTTTAAAGGGCGATAAGACGGACTCAAATGCCGCGAGTTGGTGTCTAATGATAGGAAAAGACGCTTTCGCCTGAGTTATGTGCGTTTTTTCCTCTTGTTAAAGACTATTTCTCTGTGAAAAAAATGCAGGATTGAAGTCCTCTCGTCGTCTTTAGGCGGAAAGTTATCGTTACTTCCTACATTTCTCTACACACACAAACAAGCGCGCGCGCACATCCGCTGGCGATGTGGGAATAAATGGCTAATTTCCCTTTCAGCTCACCTGAAAACGCTTCAGGTTGAAAAATGCATACGACCAACGCGTAAAAGAAAAAAAAAAGAAAAAAAAAAAGCAAAATAAATATATACATTAAAAAAAAAAGTCACTGTCAATCTCGTTACATAAAAGCTCGCGGTGGAGAGATAATTAACACAATTTGTTAAAAGAGAGATGTGGGCTTTGCTGCCCTCTCGTGACACATTTTAGGTATTACAGCGAGGTTAAATCTAAATTATCACCTTTAAGTTTGATTTATCATTTACTGCTCTATAAAATACTTGATAAGAAATATATTAACGAATAAAAATGTTCCACTCACTAGCTCTAATTACTAATTTAGACTTTCAGAGCCTTTAATGGCCAAGCTGGTCTCTGATCTACTTTGCCTTACCCAGGTTGGTTTATTTGTTCCTCAAATTAGAACCTTTTCATGCTTCCAAGGACCCACTTTAGAATAAGAGGAGACTTGTCATGTCGAACCGTTGATCCAGAATTGTAGAATAACTTTCCTCTGTATAGGTTGAGAAGCTGCTGAGGCATTTCTTAGCTTTTGGTTAACTGGGATTTAACTGTTTTATTATTGCTTTTAAGTGTTCTATTTTTCTTTTTTCAGTATCTTCTGAAACACTTATTGACTTTATAAGGGAAATGTGCTGTGTAAATAGTTTCTTCTTCTTTTTACATATAATCAGTACAGGTTTTATCTTTTCTTTTAAGTTTAAGAATTGCTGGTAGTAGATTTGATTAAGATTTGGTGAAGGGCCAGGGTTTAATTTATCTTGAACAATTTACATTATTCAGATTTGTTTCTTCATTCTGTAATTTTCTCAACACATTTGATTTAATATTTTCAAGTCATTTGTTCAACAAGCACTGGAAAGATACATAGACAGACCCTAGAGTTACAGAGAATCTTTTAAGTTGTCAAATTGTGACTGCATACATTGTTGTCCAACCTATAGGGTGCATGTAGGGACATTATTGCAGATCTTTCCTTGTAACAGCCTTTAGTTTTGTAACCATGACTATTCCGAACAAACTCAATAGGTTGTTTACATCCTTGCTGTTTACTGTAGTGTGCAAGGATTTTTGTTTTTGTTTTTTTGTAAATAGCCTGTTGGTGACCTTGATCAATTGCATATTTAAATAATCATACTTAGTTAGATATTTCATTCAAGCCTTTTATAACTACAAAGTACTTCTGCTTTAAAATGTGCCTTTAATTACTGCCGAAACCCCTGTATTTTCCAGCTGTGGGATAGTTAGGGATTATAATGTTTTATTTAAAATGTGGCTTTATTTTATTGTCAATTTCCTGCCTCTGCCAGAATTATACAGGCAATATCTAAAGGATACATGGCTTTTCTGCAAAACTCTCATATGAAGATGACACTAAAATATGATTTTGAATCAGCTAGGGAATGTATTTTCTTTGTTTAATATCATAAAACTCAATGGATTTTTTTTTCTGTCTAATTTGGAAGGTGCTGAAATCACCAAGTCCTGAAACTCAGCTCTATTTTAGGGAAAAAGTACCATAAGTAAACACCTGGTATATATTTTTAAGAATTCTGGTTTCCTACACACATGCATACATAAAAGCTCACAGTATAAAAAAATTAAGATCCAAATTGTTCTTTTTTAATGCTTGATTCATTTACTTTAACCTTTTACCATGATAATTGGAAAAACTCCTGAAGCCATCAAACATTTATAGCACTTACTGTAATAGGCTCTTTACTTTTGCTTGAATAGATATCTTTCCAAACTCAGGTTGTTTTGTCTTGTTAACATTGGGTGGTGTAGTGTTACAGTATTGTGCACATTTTTTTCATAATCAATTTCTCTAAATCAAAGCTGCATTAAAGATGTTCTTGCAAAGGTTTAGTGGCTACAAGCAATCAACATTAAACTTTTCTGTGTAAATATTAACCTGTGTGCTGTTACTATCTCTAACAAAGCTTTTATATTCATTTGAGACCCCCCCTTCTCATTTGAGAGTGGTTTACCTCTCAGAAAGCCGTCCGCATTCAAATTTCTAGTAACCTAAAAAGGACTCAAATTTGCTTGTCTGATTTGCATGTTGAAATTATGCAAATATTGTTTCATTGCAAACAAAGAGCATTTTCTTTTTTTGTACACGTGGTTGCAGTCCAAACTTTACTCCCATTCTTCAAAGGAATTCTTATTGTATATTTTTTTATTAGTTTTAAATATTTTTGGCCATTGATTGTTTTCAATTTGTTTTATCTGAACATTATTTTAGGCTGCAATGATTGTATAATTTTTATCTTCAGGGATTTTTATTAAAAAACATGAATCATATTATGCTGATGAAGATTCCTAGTCACCCAGGTCATAGTCATTCAAGTTTAAAAACAATCCACTGGACTTGGTTTCAAAGGTTTGAAGACGTTTTGCTTCCCCTCCAGGAAGCTTCCTCAATTCAAATGTTAATCATATTAGCATCTTTGAATTTATGTTGGATATTCTCTAGCGCACACTTTTTACTGATAGTTATACAAAATAATTTATTGTATTTCTAATGCATTTTACATTTTCAAATCTTAGTGGTACAAGATAAAATTAGAATAAAATACAACAACAAAGAAATAAGTAGGTACAATAAGTAACTGTAGATAATATCATAAATAAACAAGTGTTCAACCAAAAAAAGTTAAAAAAAAAACAATCCACTAGACTTTGTTTCCAAGTTTGAAGACCTTTTGCTTCCCATCCCGGAGGCTTTTTCAATTCAAAGTCTCAGAAATAGCGTTAGTTTACTTGGCTTCTCTAAATTCTCCTTAGGTGTGAGTGTGTGCATGAGTGGTTGTTTGTCTTGTTTGTTTCTGTGTTGGCCTTCGATGGACTGGCGACCTGTCAGGGGTGTACCCCGCCTCTTGCCCGTAGACAACTGGGGATAGGCACCAGCACCCCTCGCGACCCCAGGATGGATAAGCCTGAAGGAAAATGAATGGATGGATGGAAATGTAACTGTACATGTGTAATTGATGGAAATGTAAATGTACTCACCTTTGTGTACAGTAATGTTTTCAGCTGCCTATATACCATACCTTGTCTGATTCGAGGTGTTAGAACTTTGTTTCTCAAAGCTGGTCCTTAGGGCCCATATTCCTTCATGTTTTAGATGTAGAGCTTCTCCAGCACACCTGATTCAACTTGCATTCCCTTCCTCTTGCAATCAAATGCTACAGAACCTATTTTCATCCATTGATGTGAGATGTGTAGGGCAGAAGAGAAACACCTATAAAACATTTAGATCTGTGGGATTTAAAGGAACAGGGCTGATAAAGTCTCCAATAGACAACTCTGGGCTTAGCAGTTGACAGAAGAACAGGATTTCCCTGATTGCTCTGTATTAGATAATGCATGGTGCACAGGTGATTATTGTGTGGAATGTTCTTTATGTGGTTGGTAAGTGCCAGTGAAAAGAACTCTAATGCTTAAAAATATCAAACTGAAACACATAAAGTGTCTCGATTTGATATTTATATAATGAGGGTATGCTTACTTCTGACCCATACCTCCTTACAACATTATCAACCCTTACTTGCTGATGTTAACTATACTGTAAATAATTAAAAGTTAATTATTATATCTCAAGGTAAATCAGACTGCAATGAGCTGCCCACCCCAACCCCAAAATATCTGCAGATTTCAAGGTGAGTAGTAATTGTTCACATCTCAACCTCAACGCTTCAGGTTATTTAAAATCAATAGCATATCTTATGATCATCGCTTCTGCTTATGCTAATGCAAAGCCTGTCCATTCGTGTATTTAATGACTGCAGAGGTGTCGAGCTGCTGTATCCCAATTTAGCAAAGACGCTCAGAGACACACTGACAGCTTATTATAGCATGATGAATGAAGAGAGGCAACGCAAATTGTTACTCAGCAGAATCAGCTGCCGCTGAAAGCGACTACCTGCAGAGGCAGCCAGGATCGCCCACACAGGAGGACAAATTAGGGAAGAGGAGAACATACTTCATTTAATTTTGTCATCCGTCCCAGTGTGACACTTTAAAATGGATACAAATATGAGTGGTCATCTCTGGTGTGTTGCTGCTGGTGATGGCTTTGATGGAGGAAGCGATGAACTCTCATTAGGTGTCACACTTGTTCCTGCTGGACTGAGCCAGTTCTGCAAAGATACACTGATTCCAGTTCAGTAGGCACATGAGTAAACAACCGAAATATAGCTGAGTGTGACGAATTCTCCAAAAATAACTGAAGGCAAACTTTTAACAAGCAACAGCTCTTTTTTAAATCCTGCAAAGTTGCATTTTCATCGACTTACATCATATCTGTCTTTACATCTTTGACACAATGAATCAGTTATCCCTCTGCAATTTACATTCAGTGTGATAAAAAGCAAACAACCAAATTGCATTCATGTATTCTTTTGCTCTCATTCTTCCTAATTTAGCATCTGTTTTCTTATTATTCTTTATCTTCAAGCTGATTTCAACATAACTTGTCAGGACATGCAAAGACTTTTGCAGCATTCCACTACTTTTTACAGTACAGGAGCTTTTAAATGGCACTCATTCCTCTCCCATCAGCTCTAAGGTGTTATGGGCAGCCAGGACCCTCAGGTATGCAGGAGTGGATTTTTTCTTGTCAGACACTGAACTTAGCCACTGTGAACAAATCCTGTTTTACTGATGCTCACTAATGAGCTAAGTTCTGCGTCTTTAGAAATGTTCCATAAAGTTGGTGTTCCAGGTAGGTGAAAAGGTCGTGTTTCTCCCCCTGCAAGATAAAGAGTATTCTTATAACTGGTTTGTATGTCAATAAAGCAGTTCTGTGGAGGCTTATTGCATCAACAAAATGCTATTGTTTTGTTTTCTAATGCAAATAAAAATGAGCATAACAGCAGCGGGTTTGAGGACGATGGCCATACATCACATAAAGTGCGCCACATGTTGGTACAACTGGTGTATGCACAGCATAACATTAGCTCCATGGTCTGCTTATTTAATGGTGGCTGGCAAACAACTTTCAAATGCATTACCACCACCAGCTGGTAAGGAGTGTCGTGCTTCATCAGGGATTTCAAATTTATACTTATAAATTTTATGATTCAATTTGATTTGTACTCATACATTTGTGAATTTCGTATGTATTGGTGCAAGGTTGTACAATTGCAGTGTGTATTATAACTTCCAAACTTGTCACAGATTAAGCATTTGAGTTCATATGTAAGTTATGAATTGGTAATAAGGAAAAAATACAAAATTTTAATGTATTAATATTTATTATCTTGCATTTACAAATGAAAACCCCTACGCATACCTTTTTATTGACAGTTACCTTACCCAATATATTGAGCCTAGTGCAAAATTTCTCCTCCAGCTTAAAAAAGACTAAGTAAACACTATCAGGACAAATGTTTTGATTATAGTGCTTTATTTCAAAGTAATATATGGTATCTGGTGATATTGGTATAGGTGTAGTATGTGAATGGACCTATTTAAAGTAAATGTATTTGATTATATCTTATACCTTATATCTGCTGTAAGAAAATTGGTTTTCATGACAGCAATAATGCAGGGTGTTACCATCCAAACCAACCTTGCTCTATGTGAAATAAATAATGCCCCCCCCCCCAAATAAAACTAATAACTAATTGAGGTAATCTCGGTGGCAAAGGCAGCCTTTAGGTGTTTCTGATAACAAGCAATGCCATTTTAAATCAGTTTTTGGGAGCAAAAAAATAAAAAAACAGTTAAAGGTGACACTGTTGCAGGTCTATCGGTGTGGAGTCGTAACTTCTCACCACTTCAAAGCCTTGTACTGTTTAGATCCATTCAGGCATTTACTGGCTGGTTTTGTTCAGATTGTGAGCTGCTTTCTCACTAAACTGCAGTTGAGGTTAAGGTCGTAAAACTGTAAGCAACATTTTTTTTGGTTACGTCAGTTATGGCAAGTTGTCCAATTCCAGTAGTTGGAAAGTAGCCCTGGATGATTTCCACCAATAGCTTTGACTGTTGATGCTATATATATATATATATATATATATATATTTTTTTTTTTTTTTTTTTAAAAATGTTGCATTAGTTAAATTAATGTCAGCAACTCCAAAAATGTGATTAATCACAGATTTAACACTGTCAGGCAATTATATTTTAATAACATTCAGGTTCGTTTGGTTTTCCTTAATTAATAACAATATTGTTAAAAAGATTGTTTTTAGTTATCCAGGTTATATTTACATTGGTCTTACATCAGACGTAGTTTGATCTGAAACTTTCCAGTATTATATTATAAAAACAAAACAAAAACAAATATATATCTATATATAAAATAAATCTATAAGGGGGAAGTACCTTTTTTCAACCCTGTAAATTTGCTTGTTATAAAAGAAAAACAAAAATAATACACTACTCCATTGTTAATTGAAAATAAATGTATTGCTTAATCATTTTAAAGATTAATAAAAAGATGAATACATTTAAAACCATATTTCTGTCAATAAGAGTTGAAATGGCTGTTTGAAACTCATAAATTTCATGAAAAGAAGGTATAATTATAGACTTTGAACTCAAATATCAGTTTTCTCCTTTCCTGGGATGGGCCCCATTCTCCAGCTGGAACAAGACTCAGTCTTCTTAGTTTGCCTGGGCCTCAGGACCTGAAGCTCAGTTTTCAGAATAAATGGTTATTCCACCCAAACAGGAGCATGACGACATCATATCCAATATGTTTGTGAAGCCTTGTTGTAGAGCCATTAAAGTTGTGCAGAGATGCAGCTGAGCATTTTCACCTTTCTGCATATTGAAATGCTAAAATTTCACTCTTTGTCTCCTTAATTATCCAAAGTGGTTTAGAGATAACTAAAAATAATAAAACATTATTAATTAATAATAATCAGTAAATCCACCCCTTTAGTTGATTTCCTTTCGTGCATATTTCTTCAAACCTTTGAAATAGAAGTCAATAGTCGCATTAGTATCAAGGGTATCAGTGTCCAAGTTACCTGAGCATAAAAGCCATTATGTCATTTTTCTCCTTTCTTCAAAAGAAGCAGAAAAGACAGCTGCAGCCTTTGTCACGACACCCTTTCCTCCTCCTCCTCCTGCTCCTCTCCTGTGGAGAAAAAGTGTAATGATCCATCTTGAGCTTAAAAAAGCAAGGGGACAAAAGGACCGCTTCCACCTTTACACTTGAGTTAGTTTAGCCTCTCCTGACTTGTTCAGTTTGGGCTAATGGTCTCTTTGAGAACAGTCTGAAACTGGCACAAAAGGACACTCAGACAAAAGCAGTGTGGATTGACAGGAACATATCCAAAAAAAAAAAAAAAAACACTGAATGAGAAGTAAAAATTTGCTATTTATGTTGACAAATGATAGGGATTTATTTAATACAACAGAAGAAGGAAAAGTTAACCTTCATTAAAGCACTCATTAAAAGATATGAATCTCAACTTACCTGGAAAAGAAGCAGAGTGGGCCCAAACCCCTTCTTTTGGTCTCCAGCCTGGTGTTGCATGTTCTTAGCGTCGTTCCGCTTCTCCAGCTGCTCACTGGGAGGTGAGCGTGTGCAGAAGTGAGAAAGAGAGCATGTGTGAAAACAGATAGGGCACATAGGAGGAGGAGGAGAGGCAAGAGAGGAGAGAGAAGGAGGAGGCTGATGATGGGACAGGTGTGGAATTTACACACCCTGCTGGTAGCAAACACTGGGGGCATATTTGCTTCATAGTGATGACTCATTCTTCTTATCGATGGAAGTGGGAGAAAATGAGAGTTTTTGAGTGAGAGAGAGGAACCCTAATGGAAAGCAAAGAATGATCAAAGTTTGGTCAACTTGTCTACTTATTAGAATCGGCCTGAGATCATTATTAGATCTGATTCTTTGGATTGAAAGTGAAATTATGCAGAGTTTCAAATTCGACAGGGGGAGCATGTACTCCTTTTTTTTTTTTTTTACCTACCTCACAATCCACCTCCTATAATATGGTTGCAGGCCTTGTTTGTCACCGTTCTAGTTGTTTATAAGGTTTTAGTTAGTTTAGGCAAGAAACTTTTTTCCAAATTATGAAGAGCATCTATTTGCCTTACTTGCATTTTAAAGGCTCTTGTCTTTCATATTTCGAAGCGTGCCTCTGACAATTAGACAGTTAACAACAACAAATCTGATTAGAAATCAGATTTTCCACGTCTTACTGTATATCATCAGTGTGTTCTTAATGTATGTGTTTCAGGAGCTTGTATCATATGCACCTAAAAGCACATCTAATTTATCTTATCTCTGGAGTCTATGTATCCATCTTATGTGTGATGACAGTTCAGTTACATCATGCAACTTTGCAGATGTGTTTCCTTGACAATCTATTGGTACCTTTAGGTTTTCCATTTGGCTTTCATGTCAATAATTCCTAGTTCAAAATTTCACAGAACAGTGGATGTGGTCACTGTTGGACAGGTTTTCTCTCTCCCTTCTAAAAAAAGTAATAAAAAATATTATAAAAATGATTGATTACTAGTTTCAAATCAGAAGTCAATATCTCACTGTATTGGTTAAGTTACAGTATTCTTAGGAACTTTGACAATTGGGTCGACAGTATGTGTTCGTGATACAAACCCACAGTCCAGAATCAAAGCATATAAAATTGCAAATGTATGAGCTCACAAAGAATGTTATACACACTGTAGTTTATACCCAGCAAGCCTTATGTGCTCACAAAGGATTAAAACAAAGAACAAATCTTAAAATGGTGTTAAAAAGGAAGCAGGTTTATGATAAGGTGCTCATGAAAGAAAACAAGCAGGCAGTGCTTTTTCTTGAGGTCTAATTTGTCCTTCTTACCCTAAAACATTTGCTGAGAGACAGGATTCCCACGATCCAAGGTTTGACATCAATTGGTAAAAACCTTTTTCTTGTCCAACTATGAACTTAACCTTCACAAAGCGGTATCACATGTGAGCCCTCATATCTGTCACCGTTCCCTCCATGTGTGTTCTGCCCTCTCTCCATCGGCTGTTTTTGTTTGAACTGCAAACTGATACACAAAGCCTTGCAATTGCTGCATGTCACTATCCCTCTGCAACCGATCAGCAGGAAAACATGGAGGTTGTCTGCAGTTGTTTGTTTTTTTTATTTTTATTCGTAGCCTTTTAAAAGCACTCTACGCAGCTCCACTTTGGCCTGTAATGCACCCGGTCCATTTAGCTTGGCTGAGCTGTGAAACCTAAGATCACAGGCTGGGTCGACAACAATTTCACCTTCTGATCCAGCTAATCTCCATTTTATATTCAGAGGATAAAAAAAAAAGCCCTTTACAAGAGGTTCAGTACAGCTGCAAGTTCTACTTTTTATAACTTGTTTGGGTTTCTCTGCAGGGAAATCCCTGAACTTACAACCATCATTTAAACCTGTAAACTCAGATGCAAGCTTGACACACCTGATGCTAGAAAAGAAAAGAAAAAAAAACACATCTTTCGTGCCACACTCAACTCTTCCAAGTGATCCGTCGCAATTCGCAGGGGTTGATGTTTCAGAACTAGAATTGCCTCAAAGCACAAAGAGGTGAGGCGGCTCCCCTGTGAAACCAGATCTAGTTTGCAGTGATGGACGGCACATGATGGGGAGCGCTGGATGCATCAACCCTGGCTAATGGGCTAGCTGGCTCTCAGGAGCCCGCCTGTACATTATGTGCAGCCACGGCTCAAAGAGTTTAAAGGTAAACGGCTTTCTGATCGCTTTGAAGTCCAACAAGACTTAACATCGTCATCCAAAATTATATAATGTCTACTAGACATGTAGAACAGTACAGTACCTGGCCTTTACAGACTGTCAGAGGTTTCTATAAAATAAATAATGATAGAGACAATTGTGATGCTTTTCAGCAACGGTTTTCATTATTTACATCATTTTAATTTAGTCCAATGCTGACTGAGCGTCCTCATTTATGAATAACATACACAAAGTGCACATTTCTTACCTGTTTGACCTCTTGTGTATGAATGCAACTGGAGGCATCTAAACACATGAGGTAAACGTTGTTAGGAATCCAGTTTGTG